TGAGTATGCTAATATTATTTTGTTATCTTATGTCTTATGTTTTTCATTGGTATGCTTCAGATGCTAGCTTTTAATGTGTACCCGTTTATTCCTTTGCTTTGATCATTTGCCTTTAATAATTTAGACTTCATGATAAAATGATTTAATTAATTTATCAACTTGTTTAGAGGATCCTCAGACCTTTAATTTGATTCTTATGCTTAATAACCTGGCATGGAACTTTTATGACCGGTTTCGCTAAATCAGATGACTTGATATTATAATCCTACATTAGATATTTATTTAGCCAACTACTTAGGTCATAACCTGGCCAAAGGTTTCGTGATCTGGACATAAGTTTGTCATTTACTTAGTCGTTTTTCTTAAGGTTAGAGGTTTCACTTAACTTAACACGGCCAGAGGTTTAACATTTACGTGGCCACTTTGCTTATGGTCAGAGGTTTTATTCTTAAATCGCTCATGGGTTTAACATTTACGTGGACGATTACTTAAGGTCAGAGGTTTTATTGAACTTAACTCGGCCAGAGGTTTAACATTTATTTTCCCTCGACGCATGCTTGTGGTGTTCTCTCCTCGGCCCAGATCCTTCGTGCCTAGATTGTATTTTTTTCTCTACCATCTTGGGACCTCTTCTCCATGTTACTCTCCTCCCCTTGACATAACATTCTGCTCTGCCCATGACCTCTTCCTTGGTATTGGCCGACTTCTGCACCAATGATTCATTCAAGTGGCCGTGAACATCTCATGATTTGGATGGGAGACTTTTATGGTATCTTTATTGAATATCTCCATATATTTTCGGAGGGAATCAGTGTAACACCCCATTTAAAATATTTAGTCATTGTGTGTTGTTTGTAATTTTATTGACTTAATTAAGGGTATGTGGTTAAGGGTGAGTGTGAGGAGTTAGCCTTAATTGAGTGATGTGAATGAAACTTTAGAATAATATGATGATGATAATTAATTAATAATGGGTGAGAAATATTAGTAATATTATGGTTATTATTATTATTACCATTATTGTTATTATTATTATTATGGTTATTATCATGATTGTTATTATTATTATTATTATTATTATTACTATTATTAGTAATAATATTATAAGGGAAATTAATTAAGGGAGGTCAAACAAATAGGAGGGATTAATGGGAGGTTACACACAGAGAAAATCAGTGAAAATAGAATAAGAGAAAGAGCAAGGGAAAACTAGGGAAAGAGCTGGTTTCACCATTTTTGAAGGATCAAAGCTTAGATTTCAAGGGGGAGAATGTGATCAATAATGGTGATTATAGCATGAGAGGGTAGTCCCCTGTCTTTCCCTCTTGGAATTTTTGTGCATATTATTTCCTTGTATTTCTTGATTCTGTAACTATGTGAATGTTGTGAATTTCGTGTTGTTGTGATGATACTGGTATGAATATGTGTCTGTTATAGAATTACTGATACAAATTCGTGGGAATTTGTGGACTATTGTTGTGTTTTACCATGTTGCAAATCTATAAGATTATGAGATGTAGTAGATGACAAAATTTGAGTTAAATGATGAACAATCTTGATAGAATGATAGGATAATTAGATAGAATGAAATTGTGGATGATAAACTGGTATAGAAGGTTGTTTTGGATCTAATTTAGGTGTTGGAATGGAATCCAATGTGTGAGAATTCGTGTAGATGGAAACTTGGAATTTTTGGTATGCATCTGGTCATACGCGTATGGGGGGAGGCCATACGCCTATGAAGGACATCTCAGAGGCCGTACGCGTATGGTATGTGCCTTGTTCCAATGCCAGCATGACCTTTTGGCCGTACGTGTATGGTACACATAAGGAAGATGAGGCAATACGCGTATGGTCATGCCATTACACGTATGGGCAGCTTTAGAGCATTTTGGGAGAGGAAATCACCCTCTAGTCATACGCGTAAAGCCTAGGGAAATACGCGTATGAGGCCTGGGCAGATGGGGTCCTACACGTATGATATGTAGGTCTAGGGCGAGGGAGAGTGGACATACGCGTATAGGCAGGGTTGTAGTGCAATTTTCCTATTTTCACGATTTTTGTCCTGATTTCACGTGCAATGCAATTTCTCTTGATATGTAATACTAACATGATATAATTGGACATAGAGGAAACTAATAATGACATTAAATATGATAAAATATGAGATTTTATGATATTGTTTGGTTGAGACGTGTTAGATATTTGTGAGCCAAGATTGTCGTATGTGGACGGTCTTGGACTGTGGTGGTAATTCTGAAGGGAATTACGGTGAGTATGTGACTCACGTGGGATCATTAAGGATCATTAATTATGCTTGAATAATTAGTACATTGTGCATAATTTTGTGTCATACATTCATGTCATATTATGTGGAGATGAGTTAGGTGAGAATCCATGATGGGTGTCTAGTCTTGTCCGGACTCTACGTGGGAGTTGAGTGGAGATAAGTTGTAGTTCAGAGGGACGTATAAGACTTATCCGGATTTCGATGGGAATCGGGTTCTAGGGTGAATTGTATGTGATTGTGTTGGTACCGTATGTATTGTGTCGTGTCAGTTGAGTCACAATGCATATGTATATGATTGAATGTGGGCTGATTATGTCGAATGATGATGTGGCACTTGTATGTGCGTTGTACTTGTATGATTGGCGTGATTTATGTGTTAACTACTCCTTAGCATGTGATTTTCACAGTGTATTATTGAATGTAGTTCTCACCCGTTTTTTGTTTGTTATGTATGTGCTCCTTAGGGAGTACAGATAATCAGGTGCCTGAGTAGTGCTTGGAGCTTGTGTTGCTATTTGATCGAGTCTTAGGAGTCACTCTGATACGTAACACGGGAAGGATGAGGATTATGTTATGTTTTCATGTTATTTGTCGTTTGTTGTTTGTTACGTATCTGTTTTTTTATTAATGTTGTTGAACCACATATTATGTGAAGAGTGAATGTAATTGGGGATTTAGTGTCAAACCATTGATTTAATTCCGTTGTTTAATCGGATTATTTTTTTAATTAATAAATGAGATATGAAGTGATTTTATACTTCATGATGATGTTTTTGAATGTGGTATCCTACGTGTGTAACTCTGATTTATTTTCGCAAATTTTCGTAATTTTCAAATTATTATACAAATGGGTAGAGTAGGGTGTTACACTCAGAGGGCCCTTGAAATACATTGAATAAGCTGGTGGTAGTCACCTTTCTATGTTTGCTGGCAATGAAATGTTGTATCATTTTCCTAGTAAGATCTTGGTAGCTGGTAACTGATTGTTTATGTAGACTCATATACCAACGTAGCGCCACATCTTTGAGTGTTCCTGCCATGAGTTTCCATTTCAGGGAGTCGAAATACCCAATTATTGACATTTGATTGTTGATTGATATTATGTGTTCTTGAGGACCACTTTTGCCATCAAAGGATGTGAAATGTGGTGGTTTGAAATTTTCTGGGACTTGATTACCCAAAATAATTTCTGACAGGGTTGAGGACCAAAGAGCTCTTCCTCCTTCTCCTCCCCATCCTTCGTACTTTGTTATTGTTGTAATGTATGAACACTTTCTTCTAGAGACTCATTCAGCCGGCGCAGGTTCTCCACAATTGCTAGGAGATGTGCCATATTTGGGGGATTTTTATCTTCACTCCTGCTAGGAGATGATTTAGATATTGTGTTGTTGTGATAAAGTGTATGTTTTTTTAGGTCTGGGAAAGTTTATTAAGCCCCCACGGTGGGCGCCAAATGTTCTTACTAAACAATATTTGGAGAACCTCCAGGAGGCTAGACAGATGAGGTTGCAATCGTCCTATTTTCTAAGGAGGAATTAATTGTCTTTTCCTCATTGGAAAGTCTTCCTTTTATACTCGTCCACTCATCCAGGGCTACCTAAAGGATGCCCCTTCATTTGCTATGTTAGAGCCACCTTTGGTAACGTCCACCGTCCTCCTTAACTCCACAGTAACACATCTTTCATCAATTTCTATAACTCCCGTGCAATCACGGAAACGTTCCGTAACCGTCATATGTAACTGTTCACATCATCTCTGACTTACATGTCTGACTAAGCCAATATGAGGCCGAACCCGACTTGCCCAAGATCATGTTATCCAACTTGTCTATTCTTTGTACTCAGTTTGTAAAAACTCGACCTTGAGAATTTCGTGAGGTACACTTATCATTTTTATAAATAATTGTTTATATTTATTTATTATTTTTCAAAATTAAATATAAAATTAATTATTATACTCTAATTATTATACTTTGATTATAGAAAAAAAATAAAATTAAAATAATTAAAATTATATTATAAAAAATATTAAAAACAACAAAATTTATTTGATAAGTATAAAAAGTAAAATTAAGAACCCGTAAAAAGAAAGAGAATTGTAATTTAGAATTAGACAATTGCTATTTTTTAGGATATATTCATTGCATACAAAGAGAAATAAATATTTTTAATCAAATGAGAAGTAATATTTGTATTGCCAAAAAAAACCAAAGCATTATTTTTCTCAATTAGAATGACAAACTGAAATAGTTAGTCAAAGCTATATGTATTTTAAAATTCTCTACATTAAAACAGGTATTTAAATGTAAATATTCTTTTTATGCATTTTAACAGTTTTAAATTTCCATTTATTCTCAAACTCAACACAACTTTGGTTTAAATTAGCAAATTCCAAATCTCGATCTCACCCACTACCTTGACCTTGCACCCGCTAGCAGCCGTTCACTTTTGAAAGTCATTCGAGGGTATTTCCGTCACTTCGTTTAAGTCCCCTTTCTTCCTTTTCAATCTTTCACTTTAAATACCGAAAAGCTCGTCCTCGGAATTTCATCTTGACAACACTTGAGCCACTTCTCAATTCGTCACCACCGTGCCGGAGATCGAGTTCCGGCGACTCCTCAACTCGGAACTCACTCCATTTCTGTTAGTTCCTAACAAATTCTCTCATTTTTCTTCTTCCTTGCTCAGATTGGAAGAAGAAAAAACTGAAAATGAGTTCAGAATTGACTTTCAGAGGACACGAGACGCAGCAAGTGAACGACGAGTACTCACCGAAGCCAAACAAACCATGGCTCTCTGAAATTCGTCCGATTCGTTACATGCTTCGTGAACAGCGACTCGTTTTCGTGTTGATTGGAATCGTCATAGCCACCTTATTCTTCACACTAGCACCATCCTCATCTTCAACCTCCTCCTCCTCATCCTCATTTCCAGCCGTCCGGTACGAGCCGCATCCGATCTCGTACTTCGAGCACGAATCCAAACCCACACCATACCAGCAACGGTCCGCGGCGTTTCATTCGTTCGGGAAAGTTCCTTTAGGGCTTAAGAGAAAGGGGCTTCGAATCGTGGTGACCGGAGGAGCCGGTTTCGTTGGGTCTCACCTAGTGGATCGGTTGATTGAAAGAGGTGATAGCGTGATTGTTGTTGATAATTTCTTCACCGGAAGAAAAGAGAACGTTATGCATCACTTTCGAAACCCTCGATTTGAGCTTATACGACACGACGTCGTTGAGCCGCTTTTGCTTGAAGTTGATCAGATCTATCATCTTGCTTGTCCTGCTTCACCGGTTCATTACAAGTTCAACCCCGTTAAGACTATTATATCCTTTTTTTTGTTTAATTTCTTTTTTATTATTTTTATTTATCGCATTCGATTTCGAATTCATTGTTTATATAGTTTAGAGTCCTTAATTCATTGTTTACAAGACGAATGTGGTGGGAACATTGAACATGCTTGGTTTGGCTAAGAGAATTGGAGCTAGATTCTTGCTAACAAGTACCAGTGAGGTTTATGGTGATCCTCTGCAGCATCCTCAGAAGGAGACTTACTGGGGAAACGTTAATCCCATCGGTAAGTAGAATTAATTATTTTTAATTAATTCTACAGAAATGGAGATTAAGTTTAGGGTTTTTTGTTTGGATGTGGATTTGAATTCGTAACATTGCATGTTGTGAGTGATTTCTTTTTCAAACGCGAAAAACTATTTTTTTAATGACTTTTTTGGTTAACCAATAAGACACGTGGAAGATGGCAAGAGGACCGTGTTTATTTGTATGACTTTCAGGGTGCGTTGAGATAACCGTGATTTGCGGGTCCACTAAATCAACGGCCCAGATCGTTGTAGGTGAAAAACTTATGTCCGCCGTACGCTTTCCCTCGTCGTTGAGCTGGTGGCGGCGGTAATTATGGGGTTTGTGGTTAAAGAAGGATCTGATGAGAGTGAGGGCAATTTGGTCTGAAAGATGGGTTTTTTTTTTTCATTTTTGTTTGTATGTTTTGTGGGTGATAATAGTGTTAGGTAATTTTCGTCTGATAATAAAGAAATTGCTGTGATGTGAGACAGGTGTCCGAAGTTGCTACGATGAGGGTAAGCGTACGGCTGAGACATTGACTATGGATTATCACCGAGGGGCTGAAGTGGAGGTCATTTTCACTTTCCTTTTATATCATTTCAAATTGTTTGTTAGATTGGATTCAATTGATTCATTGTGAAGTGTGTTTTTCAGGTTAGAATTGCTAGGATCTTTAACACATATGGACCCAGAATGTGCTTAGATGATGGACGTGTCGTTAGTAACTTTGTAGCTCAGGTAGACGCTGCAATTTCAATTTTAATGTCATGGGTTGTTGTTGGGTTTATGTAATACAAATGATTATAATATTTTATTTGAAATTATTGTTTCTAATCGGTGTCGTTGGTGCAGGCATTGAGGAAGGAGCCTTTGACAGTTTATGGGGATGGGAAGCAAACAAGGAGTTTCCAGTATGTCTCTGACTTGGTAAGCATTTTCACTTTTCTAATCACTATGCTTATCTGGCTTGGTCTTTGTTTTTAATGAAATTCAATTAAAAAAATGTTTCATTCTTAGCTGAAAATGATTTACGCTTTTCTTTATTATGCTGCACTCTTTCCGCTCCACCATACAAACCTTTTTGATAAATCACTCGTAAATATATGTGGAGGTGTCACAAGTCACAATTTATTAACCATTCACTCAACACAATTATTGTCTAACCACATTTTTTAAGTATATATTCAAACACAAATTATAGTAATTAATATAATGTATATTTAAAACTTGAATATCATATACTCCTACTGTTCTTATTATAAGAAAAAGTTTATTTTTTAGATATATTAAATAATCAATTTATCTAGATTATATACTTTTTTTCCCCTATAATAAAGACCAGAGGAAGAGGAAGTATATTTGAATTCATTTTGAATGTTAATGAATGAATATTTATTTGTATACTTGAACACTTAAAAATTATGGTAAATGTTGTTAAGTATGTTCAGTAAGTATTTAATGAGTTATGATATTTTGTTTTATACATTAACCATCAATTGAACATACATAATTAACTACATACTTCTAAATCTGTGAACAATCCAATTTGATGTCAAATTTTTGTATCAAAGTGTAGCATTTCGTTTTTTATGTTGAAGCTTTAAAACAACTTCTCCCCATGTGCACGCTGCACATTAACTGAAACAATTCCCGGCTTTCTGTCAATGGTCTTTTTCTCTCATAATTAAATCTGATGGTAACTTTGAAGATCATGCTGTTATTTATTATGTTATATATGTGTCCATTGCACATTTCACTCAGAAGCATTTCCACGTGACTGGAACCTTGATTAAAGGCCCGGGTGGGCCAGCTCCTATTATGGCAGATTGTACAATAAAAAAGTTGTTAAAGCTCATCTCTGACAACAATTGAAAATGTGGCATAGCAAAAATAATTCAAAGTGTCTGCATCGTTTATAAGATGGATGCGTGAAGTTGATACTTAACACGTGTCCCCTGAATTTTAATTAGATTATGGGCTAGCTATGTCCTTGGATTCAGAATCCTTCTCAAGATGCTGTTGTTTGCTCATTATTGTGATATTTATGTTGGCACAGGTGGAGGGTCTAATGCGCCTTATGGAAGGAGAACATGTGGGGCCTTTCAACCTTGGAAATCCTGGTGAATTTACAATGCTTGAACTTGCCAAGGTAAAAGATTACTCATTTTCATCAGACTAATAAACCCAAAAGCCATGATCATCCAACTAAGCTAATTTAAGCTTTATTCATTTACTCATATTCATCATCATACTTGGCATGGAATAATAGTTTCTTCATATCTATACTTAATTTCCCTGAAACCAGAATTAATTAGTCCAATTCTTTGGTTGACTAGTTGTTTCCTACATTCATTATTCTTTCTTTTCATTTTCTAAGAATGTGGATGAGAATGAAGAATGTTAGGTTTGGACTGGTTATTTTCTGTCGGTGAATACAGTAACTTCAGTCTTACATCTATCTGATAAACCTCATTATTGAATGCATCAATATTTGTACCTTTGCTGTAGGTGGTCCAAGAAACAATTGACCCAGAGGCCAAGATAGAATACAGGCCCAATACAGAAGATGACCCACACAAGAGAAAGCCTGATATAACTAAGGCCAAGGAGCAACTTGGCTGGGAACCCAAGGTGGACCTGCACACGGGCCTCCCACTCATGGTTTCTGACTTCCGGCAACGTATTTTTGGGGACCATAAGGAAGGTGGAACAGTGGCCTAATTCTTGATGGTAGTATGTTTATGTCATGTGTACCTTAGAGAGTGAGAAAGGGAAAATATTAGTCTGAGGATAACAACACTAGGGTGTTGTTTCCCATTAGTGTCAGCAGCATATGAGCTCTTCTTGAGTGTCCCTTTTGTTGTTCCTTCTCCAGCATATTTTCTCTCTTTCAAGAATTTATTGATAGCCATAGCCAGCCATGATTTCATTTATCAGTTTCCTGTCATCTATATGGTTCTATTTCTATTTTTTTTGGATGTTATTGGTATGTACAAGTGACTACAGTTATAGTTATTACAACATTTTACCTTATTATATTTTGTTCCAACTTCACTAGTCGCTACCTCCCAATTTGATTTCTGGTTTTTTTTAGTGTTTGTTGCCTTCCTAGAAACCAGGGCACAGGGATTAGGCTCTCATTTTATTTTTATGCATATGATTAAATTAGTGAGATTAATTATTGCGGTGATGATGATTACTTACATGATTTTCTTCACGTACTACACGAACATTATCATTTTCTCCCATTAGCAGTCAATCATAAAAACAATGAAAAAACAGATTTGGTTCAGGGGACTGGCCTAAGGTCTTATGTCCCTGTTTGAGTTTAGTCTCCCATAGTCTTGCATGATTTTGAAAAAATTTGGACCCATTATATTATGAACCAAGAGAATAATGTTGGCCACAATATAGCACAACTACCTTCTGTACATGTAACGCTACCATATTTCAAAATGCCCAATAAGGCAGGTTTATAATTTCTACAGTGATGATAAGGCGCGAGTGCGGCCTTCTTGAAACTCATTACTATTATCGCCCTTGTAAGCTGGAATAGGTAAACAAAACTCCGAACTTGCCTTGCTATTAGCTCTTTTGTCCAGCCAACTAATGATTTCTCCCAAAACAAGTTCAATATTTTCATCAGTCTCACCAGATGTTAACCCATGCCACATTCCAGGGTAGAGTTTCATGGTCTTGTCTACACTACTAGCTCTATCATATAATGCCTTGCTTATTTCCGGGTCTGTCACTTTATCTTCCTCTCCATGTAACACCAAAAAAGGCAATGTCACCTGCTCAAAGTTCACATTATGAGACCCAAACGAGGGTAATTGTTTCAGCTAAAATTAAGATTCAAAAATAGAGTCTGTGTGCAGTTCACCTCATGTAAGGTGGTTTCAACACTTAAACTAGCTCTCAGCAACTCCAATGCTGTTTTCAACCTCGGCTTGCCCTGATATATTAACTTGTTTTTCCTTATCTGCAAAAGGTACATAATTAACTTTGGCAGAACATGAACATGAAGTCTCAACTAAGAAAAAACAGTGTTGAGCATCACCATTTCCCGTTTGGTACGATCTTTGAATGCTGAATTGATGACATCCCTTGAAGGAACTATTTTCCACTTGGGAATTACTTCTTCCAATCCTGTCAATATACTAATAACAACAGGAGGTGGCTTCAACTTCTCTGATATCTTACACATTGGTGCCACAAAAACGGCTCCGTCCCAAAACGAAGGGTCCTTTTTATGTAATAGCAGGGACACTGCTCCTCCCATTGATTCTCCATATAAAAATTTGGCCTTTCCCTTGTACTCTTGGAGCTCTGAAATACTCCAATGAATCAGGAACTCAACTCAGAGTAAACAAAATCCTAAATGTTTGAATTTTGAACAATGACATGATTACCGCAAATTGATTTGTAAAAGCTGGAACAGTCATCTACAATGTTGTCAAATTTGGTTATGTAACAACGAACACCTGCAGAGTGTCCATGTCCTTCATAGTCCATACCGAACACACCATATCCTACGGAGGCTAATTTCTCTCCGATTTCTAGGGGCATGATACAAACAATTAATTAATCATAAGTACAAATTGACACCACTAGCAGTATATCAAAATTGATTCGAATATGTAAAGTAAGATTATCATTTTATTACCCATCTAAAATATTAACTTTAAGATGAGATTATTAACGGAAATCTATAAAGTCGGGATATTATAAAAAATGATGTATTCAGTGTTTAATTTATTTGCAGTACACATAAAAAACAATGAATTATTTTTATCCATAAAATAAACTTTAATTTAGTTGTACTCTACTGTATCATACAACTCTTTTCCATTTGTCTATGATTAATATGGATGTGAGAGTGTCCGATCTAAATATTAATTGGACCAAATAAATATATATTCAAAACGACGATATATGAAAACTACGTTTGTAATATTTGATCAATATAGTATTAAGGAATCAATCAAATTAGATGTTATTTTGATCAAATCTATTTGTGTTATCGGTTCAAATCTAATTCACCCCAAAATATTTGATGAGTTCTCGGCGTTTATAGTTAAACCTAACAAAGAAGCAATTAATTTGTCCGATCTATAATTCTATTTGTATTTAATTGATATTTTTAATTATTTATAATATATTTTTGATGTTTGACAATTAATGGTAATTTCATCTAAATTCATTATATTCATTATGAATTCAATACAATAGACTTCCTCTTCTCTTTTGTTTGTCTGATTTTGAAATGAAGAGTGATTTTTATCTCTACATTGATCTAGTATTTTTAAACTATTCCAAAATTTTAATATCGTGCTCTTTGTTGTAACCTAAAAAATTATGAAATTGTCATCTTTTATTTGAAAAAATTAATTTAAATTTTTTTAAAAATAATAGTAAAAACTTAAATTATAGTATAGAAAATAATTAACAATTTATTGATACCGTAAAACAATTTATAATATAATAAAAACAAAACTATCATCAACCCCACCCCGATATTATATGGACAACCGCATAGCATAAGACACTCCCCGACCGACCTAAGCTCTATCTTTCCATGTTGTCATCAATCCAAATAACAAAAGAACAAATAAGTTTTGTCTTTGAATCTTCTTAAATTCCTTCACTCTGTAACTAATTTTTCAGGCATATAAGTATATAAGGAAGGACGCTATATTGAAACTTACATTTGACACCGATAATTAATCAAAAATAAATAAATTACATGTAACTATAAAGTATGTGTTGTGTCGGAATCTATGTCCGTTACTAATAAAGATGCTTCTTTTAAAAAAGTTGTTCCTCTTAGGAATGTTTGAGTTAATTTTAAAGGTGTTTGTTTCATAAATTCAAATTTTATTTTAAAAATATGAGTTTAGAAATTTCATATTCTCTGATTTGTTTTAAGTTTTATTTTATTAAATTATATTAAATACTATTAACTTAGTTCAGAGACAATTCATTTTTTTAAGTTTATTAAATAATTTTAATTTATATATCTAGTATATAAATGGAATGAGCCTAAAAGAAATTTAGTTATGAATTTATCATTTTTTATTCTCATGTAAAATAAATTCTCAAATGAATAAGACGTAATCTTAAATTATTTAAACTCTTTTATATTTTATTGAAATATTTAAACTAAATATATGTTATAAATATTCCAAAAAAATCAAATGTTACCTTTCATGAATCTACTGCATTCCATTCCATAGCCTACAATAAACGATCAATACCATTAATTTAACAACATTACATAACACCAAATAATCAAGAGATTGAAAAGAGTGAAGAGATGGAATTGAACCATGACAAAGGAAAACAAGAGCCTTGGGAGAAGAAGAAATAGGCAACCATTTGCATGTGAATAGTTGCATTTCCCTTGAGTTGTTCCAGTAACCCTGATACCAACTCCAACACATTAATCTCCATAATAACAAAGTATATATAAGAAAGAAAAAACTCACTTCATGATATTCATATCTCAAATCCATGACGTTCGGGGATGTTGATGTGAAGAGTAGTGGAGATTCGATATGGTGAAAATCTTCGTAGATGTTCAAAGGCTTTTGTAGTTCCTAGTTTCGTACTTACGTGATGAATGAATCAATCGATGGTGGTGTACTTACGTGATGAATGAATCAATCAATGGTGGTGGCACAGAGAAAAGAGGGTGGGCCCTAGTTCTGTGCTAAAGAGAAAGATGTCTCATGGGGTCATACTTATTTCACACTTTTTTATTTGCATCATTTCCTGTTCTTTCTCTTTGTTTATACTAAAAATAGAATATGAACGATGTTTGCGTTTCTTCTTTGAACAAAAGACCCATTCCTTATCTCCATTCTCCATCTTTTTCGTCTTCTTCCAACCTATTATTATTATCCTTTTCTCTTTTATAGGAAGGAAAAAACAAAGAAATATAGGTAATAAGTCATTTCTTCAAGCAAATGCAACATTTTTATTTCCGATTAATTGGGGTCTAAATATCAAATTCAAAATTCTATATAAAAAAAATTCCAACTATCTTTGAGTACAAGGAAGAACATTTTTGTGATGTAGGAGGATTTTTTTTAGTGTAAGCTACAAAAAATATATGCATCTACATGTAAACAACAAAATAAACTGCAACCGCAAACAATTATGTTTGTTATGCTTGTTGAGTATACTGAGATACTTATGACCCTCAGATATCCTTCTAAGCACTTTATGTTCTAGAATAGTCAGCTGCAGCACAGAAAACAGAAATCAAACCGGCCATTCCAATCACTTGCGGCCAACTTCGTGTCCTAGCAGCAACAGCTGCACCTGCTGCAGCTCCTCCAATCAAACCATTGACCTGTTGGGGACAAATTCTTCAGCAAAAATGAAAAATTAGAAATATATATAAAGTAAATTTTAGCAACTCAATGAGCCTCGACCCTGTTGTATATTTTGTGATCATGTTGTATTTTTTGTCGGGTTGTCAACTTGCTACTTTTGAAATCATGTAAATACATTAATCTAGCCTGCACAATTATTGCGATAAACATGCTAGATTCCATAAAAAAATTGTTCTTTCTGAATCAAAGCCAAAATCGCCCCCAAAACTACAAGTGTTCCAGCATAACCACACAAATGTGCAATATTATCTTCCATTAAGCAAATCATTTGACCCAAACCACTTATCACATGCAGTGCATTGCCGGCAAAATGAATCTAGT